TGAACTTATCTAAACATGGTTACCTCCCTAATGCCTACCTCCTAATGCTAGACATTGGGGATTGGGTCTCAACCTAAGGAGCTGGGGTGTCATTAAACATCCAGCCTTTATCATTACCCCTGTACCCTCAGTGAAAGGTTATAAGCAATGTTCTCTGTAGAGAGAAATGCAAATCCAGGATAAAAAGGATAAGTATGATTAAACAGAAATCAGACAACACATTCTGATAAATACTTACCGATCATTTATCTTCTATACAATAAAAATGATCAACTGTCTTGTTCTTTTTTAAGATACAGCTTTTAATAATAAAGTCACAACAAAAATCATATTTACTTCCAATTAATGCTAGATTTTACTTAGTAGCTATTGCCTGATTTTTTTCATGGCAGCTGTAATCTAGTACTGCCTCAAGCTCTATAAAATATCATTTCATTACTTTAAAAAAGCCATTGATTTAGAAGAGCTTTAGATTTAGCAAAAAGTTGCACAGACCCCATTTCCCCTTTCTCCATTGTTAGCATTGCACCTCAGTGCAGTACACTTGTTAGAACCCAGGGCCAACCTTCGTACCTCACGGGTAAGAAAACTTGGTTGTTTATTCGGATTCAGTAACTCCTTCTAATTTCCTTTTTCTGCTCGGGTTCCAAACAGCACATACTACGTTTGCCCACCCTGCTGCCCTTCCCTGCTTCGTCTCAACAGGTTCTCAGACTTTCATAGTTTTGGACAATTTTGACGCCTTTGAGAAATACCAGTTAGGTATTCTGCGGACTGTTTGCGGGTGTGGGCGATCTGATGTTTTTCTCTTGGTATTATGGTTTGAACATGCAATTTCTGCTGCAGGTTCCTGTGTGTGAATGGTTGGTCCTCGTCTGACGGCGTTGTAGAGGCAGGCTATGGAACCTGCCTGTCTGATGGAGAGCCACAGGGGCAAACCAGTTGCTCTGGTTCCAGGGCCACCAAGACAAGGGGTCTTAGCCTCGTGCCCAGGCCTTCACTAACTCCACCATGCCTTCCCTGTGGTGATGCGCTGTCCTGTCTCCCTGGAGTTGCCCTGTGGAGAATTTGGTCCCATTAATGGGAAAATAGTTAATCTCTAGTTAGGGTGACGTTCTGTGCTCTCGGGAGAGACGGTAAGAGACAGCAGAGCAGAACCTTCTGTGGTATTCTTTCAGCTCCCACACGGCTTCCACCATCTCCACCACACCCGGTCTCTTCCTTGTCTTACCAGCTCTCACCATCAGATTCCGAGTTCTAGACCCACAGGTAGTTCTCACAGCTGACCCCACCTTAAGGTCAGCTGACTTGAGCCTAATTGTGTCTGCAAAATCCCTTCAGAGCAACACATAGTGTTTGATTGACTAATGAAGAAGAGATGGCGTGCTCATCAGGGGCTTTAAAGACAAACGCTAGTGAGTGCGCTTCTTCCCATTTCTTTTAGTCTCTTCCCTAATTAAAAAAAGTTTTGTGTGCATAGAGTTTTAAACATAAACTAAGTTGTAAGCTTTAAATGTCCTTAAATTTACCTCATTTAGGAATTTTCCTTTTTTTTTTTTTTTGTAAATAGTGGTATTTTAAATTTCCTAAAGAATGAGAATCTGCTTGGGACAAGATTTCCTCAACCCCTCTATAACCTTAAATGGCAATTTAAGAAAAGAAGTTCTGCAAAGATACACATCATCTAAAATGTGCTATAAAAGACAGCCAGGCATGGTAGCACACAGCTGTAATCCCAGCACTCAAAGGCAGAAGCCAACACATGTCTGTGAGTTCTAGGTCAGCCTGATCTAAATAGAGGGTTCCAGCCGGGGCTGCTTAGTGAGACCCTGCCTCAAACAACAGCAAAACCATACAAGGCAGGTAAGATGTAAAAGCAACACCTGACAATCGATTGCATTTGACGATGCTCATCCTGCTGTGAACCCTGTAATTCAGGAGACAGTGATGATGCCATCCAGTGCCCATACATATTAAAACCTTCATGCTGTGGGTTTCCAGGTGGAAGTGTCTGAAAGAGGACTGTTTAAAATAAAAGCCGATTGGATTTTGTGGCTCTGAACATTTATGAAGTTGAGCAACTGAGAACAAAGATGAATAGCTTCAGCCTCCAGTTCCTGAGGAACTGGAAGGTGAACTCTCCAAGACAAAATAATTAATGATTTTCAGAGCAGCACATTGCGAGAGTACCCAAATATTGCAAAACATGCAGTTTGTGTTCTCCCTTCCTTTGCTAGAACATTCTCTAGGCTCCAACAAAAACAGAAGAAATGAATAGATTCAATGCTGCATCTGATACCAAGTTCTGACTCAGTCCTATTGTTCCAGATAATACATGACACATAAATGTCAGACATAGGCCACTAAACATCTGTCAGGTGTGTTGTGCTCTACAATAAAAAGTCTAACACAGTAGGCATTATTTTAGTCTTCATGCTGTTAATTCTCAGTAAAATGAAATTATATTATTATCATTGGTAATACATACTAAACATGTATATATTACCTATTAAAAATACAATAAATTAAATCAAAGCTTTTATTTTCATTAAACAAAATTGATGCAGTAAATAAGTACATTTAAAGATGTCCAATGTCACCAGCCCTTGGGCAAAAACATTAAAACCAAGTGAGGCGCCGCTCTACGCTCATTAGAATGACTAAAGGTAAAAAGACTGTTCATATCAATGTGTGAAATAACAAAAATGTATTCTACAGTTTTGAGAGTGGAGGTTCAGAACCAAGATGTGAGCAGGGTCCTCTGTCTGAAGCCTCCCCAGCTCCCTGTGACTCCGCAATTCTCACCCTACCACTGTGTCTCCCTCTTGACCTCTCTACCCGCCTTTCTCCTCTGCCTCTGCCTCTCTTAGAAAGACAGCGATGACCTTGAGAATCTCCCCAGGTAAGTCAGCATAATACCCTTCTCTCCACGTCCTTAACAAACATATCTTTTACCATATAAAGAAATATTTAAGGTTCTCAATGTGGGCACATCTTCAAGCCCATCGCCCAACCTAGAGTCAACAACTGGTCAACTGGTAAACCATTTATTATGCATCATACAGCAGATGGCCACTCAGGAGCCAGTTGACTGAAAAATGTAACAAGATGGTTGCCTTTAGTGAAAGACGATGGACCCCAAAGATTACAAACCATATTATTACATTCATTCCAGTCTGTTACAAGAATTTTCTGGATGACACTTGATAATTAGTTGCTGAAGACTGGCTGTTTAAGAAGCAGATAGACTTAAAAAGGGCACTAGGAAATTTTCAATGGAGATGGAAATGTCACCCATCTTGATTATGGTAGGGTCAAAACTATGTACATTTCAAAGCTTACCAACCTAGATGTTTAAAATTAGTGTTTGTTTGATATAACACATATTCTTTATAGATAAGCACATCCTGGCAGTGAATGTTGTTAACTTGACAGAGTCTAGAATCCCCTAAAAGATAAAACTCTGGGCATATCTGTTAGGGGCTTCTAGATTGGGTTAGCTGAGGCGTAAAGACACTGTTGGTAGCGCTATCCCATAGCTATGCAGAATCAAAAAGAGGAAGGGTCCGAACACCAGCATCCATGGCCCTTGCTTTTTGCCTGTGAGTGCCTGTGACAGCTGTGTGACACTCCTTCCCTGATGTGATGGACTGCACTCTTGAACTGGGGGCCCAGACAAAACCCTTCTGTCCGCAAGTAGCTTCTGTTAGGAGACTTCTGTCACAGGACAAAAGTACTCCAACTAGACTTTAGTAACGCATTTAATCAGATACAACTTAAAAAAAGCTTTCTTAATCCAATTCTTATAACAGGCTCTGGGTCACTTGATAATGTTGATTCCCCCCCCCCATTGTTCTGAAGTTAATAAAAAGATTTGGGAAATGCATGTAAGAAGTATCTTTTAGAAGTGTTAACCTGGAGGAGGTCAAGATGCAACTTCCTCGGGTCATTCCAAATTCAGCATCATCAGCACCAGATGCCCACACTTGCCCAAACTTCGAGCCTAGTGAAAACAGTTGTGTATCTGAGATACACCAGTCCTCGAGGGCTGCACAAGTGGCCACTGAGAATTTCCCCTTGGATCAGTCTCCAAAATGACAATGATGAAAATCTTAAGGCAATCGGTGACTGGAAGCGATGGCAGATTCCAGTGAGATTGAAGAACAGACAGATGTAGATGGGGTGGCTCCTTACTCTATTGTCAGATTGTCAAAGCCCCCAAGGAGCCACGAAGAGACAGAAAGAAGCAGAAAAACATAAGTAAATAAACAGTGTAAACACTTTTTTTTTGGTATGGTGGTTTTGGTATTTCAAGGCAATGTGGTGTCTGTGTAGCCATGGCTGTCCTGGAACACACTCTGTAGCCCAAGCTAGCCTCTGCCTCCTGAGTTCTGGGATTAAAGGCATGCACCGCCGCCACCACCACCCTGCAGGAATGCCTTTTTTTTTTTTTTTAAATGAGATTGCCAACATTGCCTGACAGGTGTGTTACTTTTCTGGAAAGATCCTGGAGACTGTCTAATCTGTGGCTGCCACGTTGATGGCTACCCTCATGATATCACAGCCCTGCAGTGGGATGCCCTGACGCTTGAGAACCACGAGGCAGAATAGATTTTTGTTTTTAAGTTAGCTCATCTCCTCCCCTCCTTTCTCATCTCTTCCTTAGAGATGAACAAGAGGTTCAAGTGAGATCTGTCCCAATCTGCGTCTGTCCAGTTGACATGGCAGTCCTCTAAGTTTCTAGAATTGCTGACTTCCAAGTCCTATATGACTATCCTTTAACCCACAGCAGTTTCTGGTCCTTGTTTGTCCCAACTTGGATCCACTCTCCATAGTGACACTCTAAAATTGCCTTTCCAAGATAAATAAACAAAATCTGGGCTGGAGGGATGCTGGGTGGTTGAAGTGCTTGTCAGCAAGCATACAAACTGGAATTTGGACCCACGGGAGCCATATAAACGCTTAGTTGGCGTGGCAACCTCCCTGAAATTCCAGTGGCCCAGGAACAGACAAGAATCCCCAGGGCAAAATGGCTAGCGAGACTATCCATGTTGGAGAGTTCTGGGTTCAACTGAGAAACCCTGCTATGTCATTGAAAAAGAAGGAGAATAACAGGTAAGACTCCGTGTCAACTTCAGGCCTCCATCTGCACACGCACTCAAGTGTACACACACACACACACACACACACACACACACACACACACACACACACACACACACATGCACGCACGCACGCACGCACACGCACACAAGGCCGCTCTCAGGCCTGTAGGAGATGGGGCAAGGCAGCTCAGAAGCCCACCTCCGGCTCACAGGTAGGAAATGGCAGACCGTGCATCATGAACACGCCCTTTTCGTGGGCGAATCTGATCTCTTTAAACTGTATCCAAGTTTGTCTTGCCTCCTCCAAGGCAATTATTTCATTCATTCTTTTCAGGAGACTGGTGGACTAACAGGAAGCAAAACCATATTTCCAGAAAAGGCCACACTGAGTCCAGAGCAAAAAAAAGTTCATACTCAGGCAGCTACCGCGTGGTCAGGACAGGGTGTGTCTACAAAGCCTCCTTAAGGGCAGAAGACCCCCCCAGCACACCGCCCCCGCTCCCTGGCTGGTGCCACCCTGCCACTGGTGGAAGGCACTTGTCGGGGGTGTCAGGAGAAGCCCTTGCCGGGCCCTGGGCCTCCCCGTGAGAATGCGCCAGCCGTGGCGCTCCCCAAGGGCTGGGGCCGCGCCGCCTCCCTCCCGGCCCCCGGGGTGCGGAGCCCCGGCCTGTGATCGCGCGCCAAGCGCAGCCCCGAGCCCGCGCGCGCGCGCTGCCCGCAGCTCCCGCGCAAAGTGTCCCCAGACCCAGGGGTCGGGGGAGCGCGTTCGAGCCGGAGAACTAGGTCTGGGGAGTCCTTCTGAAGCTTCGCACCCCACTCTTCACTATGAGGCACCTACCCACCCACCCCCCCACACACGCACACATACACACCCCGCAAAACTTTCCCTAATGCCCATTCTCTGCCGGATGGAAGCAGAAGGACGACTGGCCCCAAGCAAGGAAAAGAGGCTCTTGGAGATGCTTGCCATGCACTCTTTAAAAAGAAGCGAAGGAGGTCGCATCTCCTCTGGGGTCCAGTTGGAGGAAGCCCTGCCTGGGTTGGTGGTGTGATTCTCGTGGTGATAATCAAACAGGTGTGAATAGTTGAGCATCAAAGACCCGTTTCTTTCTTGAATGGCTCCCTCTGCTGAGGGAAGGGAGACAAAAGCCTCCATTAGCATAGGGTGTGCTAAGCCACCTGTTCAAACAGCCCTGCCAACCGAGCGAGCCCGCCTCGGAAAGAAAAGAGCCCCAGAGCAGTGCAAACACTGCAGTGAAGTTGAAGGATTAGGCTGATCGCGGTCGCAAGCTGGGAGGAGGTGTTCTCCCGTTTGTAATCAAAGCTGGCGAGGTTATTTTTAGCAGCCTGTTTGATTCCATTAGATGAGGAGATAGCAGCTTTCATAGGCTTGTCAAAATAAAAATATGAGAGAAAAACTTAGTCTGCCCTAACTAATCCGGCAAACGTTTCTGTTTGGAAATCCTGCTTTCAGGTCATGGGTGAGCAGATAGGATTCTGCCCAGAGACAATGGTTCAGCGCAGGCCAGGCCGTGTCTGCAATTGTCACGGCTGCCTCCCATTCCAAGAAAACAAAACCACGATTTCATCAGCATCGATTTTTAATATTCTTGAAATGTTATTTTACATTTGTTTTGTGGCGCAAGAGAAGAGTGTGGGAAGGAGCGGGAGGCAGCCGAGGAAGGAGCCAAAAGAAACTTGACTTGGGGAGAGTGGGTGGGAGATCAAAGGATGGCGGTGGTGGCGGAGGGTGGAGGACCCTGGCACGGGGGTGTGGGAACAGAGCACCCTGGCACGGGGGTATGGCAGCAAGGAGGCTAGAACCAACCTGCGACCCTGACGAGAGGCCCCTGTCCTGAACCCTGCTCTTTAGAGGACCCCAGTTAGCTCTCCTGGAGCGAACTTTTGGAGAGGTCAAAGAACACAGCCATAGGGCTTAGTCCTTCTGGGCACTGGCTGTCCAAGTGTGGTCCACAAGCCATGAGCCTTGCTTGGCAGCCTGGAAATGCAAGCTCTCATGCCCCGCCCCAGAGTTTCAGCATTTTAATACATCTGTCAGGTATGTAGGGGCGCAAAGTCCAGATGTGGTGATCTGAATCACTCAGGGTTTGCAGGAACCGAAAAGAGCCGGCCCAAAGGTGCCAGCCTCCTTCAGAAACCTGTGTGGGCCTCTCTCCTGAGCCCATCCTTGGGAGGGTTCAGCATAAAGCAATACCACTAGTGTGAGTAACCCAGGGTCTGATCCATTTGTGACGCTGGAAGGAATGGCCAGCCTTTACTTGTGTGATTTGGACTGTCCTTGTATACACAAAGTCCTCCTGCACAAGGCTGTGGGACTCTCACATGCCTCCCCAGTTCAGAGTAAACTGGCAAGCCCAAGAATTTAAAATTTTGAGAAGGAATTCTAAAATGGAATCAGGACTTCCAGACAGTAATGATGGAGTATCAAGGTGGGTGGTTAACACATATTAGCTTCAACATTTCATTAATTTGCTTTATAGATTTACCTATTTAGACAGGTGATTGGTGGCTGACAATCACATTCTTGCCCTGGGCTAGAAAATATTAGGGATGGCCACTGCAGGCAGCAGACAGTACCTACTTTAAAAGAGAGCACACAGCAAGAAAGAATCAATGTATGCAGCATTCTTTGATGCTTAAATGCACCCATCCTCTCTATTCAGCTCTCCAGAAGTTTGAACTATGTCTGATTTTCTTTATCTTTTTTTTTTTTTTTTTTTTTTTTTTTTAACGCTGGTGACAGTTGTTTGCCCAAGAAGGATTAGCTTCAGGAACAAACAGAATTGAACTTGTTCCACTAACACTCAGTATGAAAGCCATTCATTTTTTTCAACCAACATTGATTATTCCTCCATTATGGTCCAGACACCATGTTTAGCCTGCCTCTGATGAGGGAGGCCTGGCTGCCCTCAAATCTCCTTGGCCACTTACACAGGCAAACCTGTCTTTATCAAGCAAGCAGGCCTGCTTCTCCAAACTTCCTTCTATTGCAGATGATGGATTCCTCTCCAGATCCTCAAGATTCTTCAACAGTGCTCACCCAGTGTGGACTTGAGAGAGAAGTTGGATTAATAGACAAGACGGGCAGGTGGAGAGTGTTTACATTTGTGTATCTGGAAGCATAAGGTCCAGGCCAATTCAACTGCTTATGCCCTATCAATCTCGTTTACGGCACTGCCAATTTCCTTATTGTGATTTGATATTATGAAATCTTGTTGTTGAATAGCTACATTGGTGATGTGTTATGTCAGGTCTCCCAAGGATGGCACCTATCATCACTTCTACCAGGAAGAAAGCACTTGATAAACCCTCTCACATTTAGGTGTTGGCAACTTTATGTTTTTGATATTCATAATAATTGTCTCTTATTTCGAAAAGGAACTCAGGCGCTGGAGAGATGGCTTGGCCATGAAGAGCACTTGCTGCTCTTTCCAGAGAACGAATGTGATCCCTAGCACCCACACGGTGTCTCACAACCATCTGTAGCCCCAGTCCTAGGGGATGATGCCCTCTTCTGGCCTCCATGGGCACTGCATACATGGAGCATGCATGCCAGTAAAATGCTCTTATATACACAAAATAATAAAGAATTTTAAAGGAACTCAAGAGTACAAGGCATCGACATGAATGGCCAGTAATGACTCCTCTAGCATCAGCATGGGATATATTTTATATTGAGTTCCCCGAGACCTCTTAAAACACAGTACACGGGCAGTTTCATGGTTTGCCAACCCAAAACTTAGCCCCTAAGAAAAGGCTCCTGGCAGCGATGAAATGAGGGAATGAATGTCTTTACTGGGAATGGTTGACTGCCATAAGGATCCTCTCAGAAGTGCTATTTTCATTCCAAAGGCCAGCCGTCAGGAAATCCATTAAAGTTGGGTCCTGATATTCTAATTAGGAGAGGTGGGAATAAAAGCCAAAAAGAGAGCTAACCTTTATGTGACGATGGTGCCCAAAGTGAAGAAAGCTCCCACCCCTCCCAGAGATGAAGCAAAGGCAAGATGGTCCAGGAGCTGGTGCTGACAGGATTCTACAGAAAAGAGTACCTGCGTGTCAGCTGCTTACAAAGCTGCCACGGCTCTGGGAATAGTCAAGGTATTGTTGGAAACCTGTCCCCAAAAGACACAAGCTCGTTTACTGTTCCATTGTCAAGTTCTCCTGACCTCCAAGTCTACCATGAAGAAGGCAAAAGACAATGCACTCCATAGGGTCAATTCCAACATTACAGATCAATCAGATACATCGATGAAGGCAAGGTCAATGCCCCACTGATGGAGAGCAGAAGCATGGGTTCCCCCTCCAGCTCCTGTTGTGGTGCGTTGGGTGATGCTAACAAAATTGGCACCTCCTAAATGGAGTCTTGCTAGCTAAATATACATGTAAATTTTCACCATAAAGGGGAGGGGACCAAAGCTAGATAGAGAAATACTCACTACTCCAATTTCATCATTATACATGGTCTATATGTATCAACTCACCATAGCCTACCCCGTAAATATATTCATTTTAAAAGTCACAGTGCTGGGGTCCTTATCTAGCACAAAGGCCCTAAGTTTGATTCCTAGCATTGTAAATATATAAATAAAAAACAAATAAATGAGAAAGCAACAGATCCACGTGATCATTTTTTTCAAAAGACAGAGGGTAACTGAGGGCAAATGTAATAAAAAATACATAATGTATGTATAAAAATGTTATATTGTGAATAGGTGAGTCAGTCGATTGGCTTGATCTGTTTGGGAGGCATCTAGGCAGTAGTACCAGGTCCTGGGCTCGTTGCATGAGTTGGCTGTTTGAAACCTGGGACTTATGCAGGGACGCTTGGCTCAATCTGGGAGGAGGGGACTGGACCTGCCTGGACTGAGTCTATCAGGTCTATCTCAGTCCTCGGAGGAGACCTTGATCTGGAGGAGGTGGGAATTGGAGGTGTGCTGGGGGGAAGTGGAGGGGGGTTGGAGGGGAGAGAACAAGGGAATCTGTGGCTGTTATGTAGAACTGAATGGTATTGTAAAATAAAATAAAAAAAAATGTTATATTGGCCTGGTGGCGGTGGCACATGCCTTTAATCCCAGCACTCAGAAGGCAGAGTCAGGTGATTATCTGTGAGTTCAAGGCCAGCCTAGTCTACAGAGCAAGATCCAGGACAGGCACCAAAAACTACAGAGAAACCCTGTCTCGAAAAAACAAAAAAACAAAAAAACAAAACATAAAAAAAAGAAAGAAAGAAAGAAAGGAAGGAAGGAAGAAAGAAAGAAAGAAAGAAAATGTCATATTGAAAGCCATTATTATGCATAATTCAGTATATGCCAGTGACAACACTAACTATTTTAAAGGGCTAAGTCTGTGGACGGCTGTCCTGTCTTCCTGCCGTGGTTGCCTTGAGGCTGGGGTGGCCTGTCCTCACTCTGCAGCCGAGTAGCTTGAGACTTGAAAGTCCAAATTCCACCAACATGAGTTTATTGTTTCACTTGCTTGTCTGCCCCCACACATGTAAATAAGGAGCTCAGCGTTATTTGGATCTGGGGAAACACCATGTTTCCCAGGAAAATTTGCCTAACCATTTCCCTTTGCCTGATAACTGATTTTAGGCACCTCCCCGGGAGACATGTGCCAACAAGTCCAGATACATTGTGCACGTTAGAAGCCATTGTGTCATCGATGGCTGGTAAGAAGTAGACCATTGTTGTGGCTACTTAGGTGCTGCACTAACACAAACAGGTTGTGTTCACCCCATGGTAACTCTTCAGCAATGCTTTTTGGAAAAGATTTATTTCTAATTAGTGCTTGTGCACATATCTATGTGTATGTGTGTGTGTACATGAGAGTGCAGTGCCTGCAGAGGCCAGAAGAGTGAATTGGATCCTGGCGCAGCTGTAACTGGCTGGACATCTGTGCTGGGAACTGAACTCAGGTCCTCTGCAAGAGCAGTACATACTTTTAACTGCTGAGCCGTCTCTCCAGCCCAGATAGATCTATCTTTATTACATTTATTTATTTATGTATAAGCATATGTGGGCGCTCACATACTAAGGCCAGTATGTGGAGGTCACAGAACAACTCGGAGGGAATCATTTCTCTCATTCTACCTTCTGCAACTTTGCCGGCATGTTGTTGTTTTTTGTTTGTACATTTGTTTGTTGTTTAGTTGGTTTTTGAGGTAGGGTCTCACTATGTACCCTCGGCTGGCCTAGAACTCATTATGCTGCACCCAATCTCATAGACATCTCCCTCCCTCTACTTTCTAGGTGCTGTGATTAGAAGCATGTGCCATCACATCAGCTCAATTCTACAGTGCTGATTTTCCTGTATTGCTGTCAATAGACGGTCTTAGTCTGTATTTTTATTGTTGTGAAGAGACATCATGATCACAGCAACTTTTATAAAGAAAACATTTAATTGAGTGGTTCCTTTACAGTTTCAGAGGTTCAGTCCATCGTCATCATGACGGGGAGCATGGTGCGTGCAGGCAGATGTGGTGTTGAAGGAACAGCTGAGAGTCCTACATCTTTCAGGCAACAGAAAGTCAACTGACCATCACACTCAGGGAAGCTTGAGCAAAGGAAACCTCAAAGCCCGCCTCCACAGTGACACACTTCCTCCAACAAGGCCATATCTCCTGAAAGTGCCACTCCCTTTGGGGGGCCCTTATCTTTCAAACCACCACAGATACTATTTTCTGTTTTAATCCTTGCAAATTAGACAATATAGTTCCCTCATGCTAATCATATTTGCTAACAAAACAATAAGGAAGAAAATACTATTAAGAAAAGTAACAACCAACATCCTTCAGATTTCACTAGGTCTTTAAAGTAAGCAGAGATGTTAACCTCCGTTTGTTAAATCCGACATCTCAGTATTTTTTCAATATGATTTCAAATCACCAAGGTGATCTGTCTTAGAAATTGTTTCTGTTTGGAATCGTGGAAGCCTGGACTCAGCCTCTCTCCACTGTGCTTACATACTGGCTTTGTTATAACATATAAAAGTAACAACAAAGCAGTGATGTGTCTGCCTTATACAGCCCACTGCCAGGAGAGTCTGACAAGTTAGCCAGGTGTCTAAGACAGGTGATGAAAAGAGCCAGTTACTTTTCATATGCAGAAAGCACCTTTGTTGAGCTAAGAACCTGTAGCTAGACAGGTCATAGGCCCTAGGGGAGAACCTACTACTATTATGCTGCTAAATAGACATAACATTAAACTCACTCCTAATGACTTATCATTATACCCAAAGATCAATGCAAATCTCAACCCACATCTGAGAAGTTTCTATTTGCAGTAAATGGTGATTAGCACAGTGGCCCACAATTGGACAAGATGCAGCGACTGCACAATGCTCAGTTCTAAAGGGAACATTTATACTGCACCGCTCACCCCCAGGCTCAGAGATCACTGGGAGAGGCGTAAGAGCTGAGGTGGTAGAGGACTACAAGGAAACGTCATCATCTGCACACATGAAGTCGCAGCAGTTGTGACAGCATGGACAAAACCTGAACAAAACCAAGCCAGACCAAATCCCAGCCAATCCCACCCCAAGCCATGGAGCTGCTGGAAATTGTTAGCTGCTGAGTGTGGGGCAGACAGTGGTCGCTAAGGGAAGCTCCTTATAAGCTGGCCATGCTCCAGTGCAAGGCCACACAGCCAAGTCTATTTGGAGAGCACAAACTGGTCTTGAGAAGTATAAAAAATAAAAGGACACAAAATTGGGTGGACAGGCAGTGGGGGAGGGATAGATATATTCAAAACACATTGTATGAAACTCTCCGAGAGCTAATTTAAAAAGGCAAAGGTTGAAAGTGCACACTGAAGTAAACTTGATCGGCACAGCGGCAGGTAAAAATATCTTTGTACTGTGGAAAGCATAGAACTTGGTGATAAAGTGAATTTCAACTGAGTCACAGCGCCTCGGGCTATCTGCAGTTGCATCTGGAGAGCAGCACTGGTTATCCTTCCTGCAGCGGTTATCACCAGACTATCATTCAGGGGCCTTCTGCGGATGGAATTGTTACTTACTAGTAAGTTACAGGACTACATGAGCTTTCAAGGTATTAAAAACTCCAAACTCCAAATCACTTGCTGAGCCAGATTTCCAGGAGTGGCCATGAGTGGTTTTTGGCTTGCATTCTGGGTAAGGTTCTGCACTTGACACCACATGTGTGCATACACGCATGCTTCACACAGGTATGCAGATTGAGCGATAGACTGTCGCCTTAAGCTACAGATGAGGGAGCAGTTCAAACCCAACTCAACCCAATTAAAAGTTGCCTGATCTTTCCGGAACTCATATAGTCAGCTCTTGCTTCTGTAGGTGTGGGCTCTTCTTCACTCTGTGGCTGAGCTGTAGACAGCATTCATGTTTGCTTCTAACTTGGTGTTTTGAACAAAGAACACAAGACAGTTCAGTGACACAGCTTCTGTATCCTTCATCTGGATTCTCACTTCACATTTTTCTCCTACATTTGCCTTCTGTCCTGTTAATATTCTTATCCACAATCACATATGTTCTGTATATGTATATACTATGCATGTATGAAGTGTATACTATGTATATGCACATATATACATAAGTATGTTTGCTTAACCGTTAGAGGATAAGTCACAGACATCATAGGCCTTCACTGCTAAACACACCAGTGTGCATTTCCTAGAGCTATTTTTTTACACAGCATGTAATAAAAAGTAAATTCACGAGCTTTAACATTGGTAAAACTATTAGCAACTGTACATCTTTTACTCCAGTGTCACTGCTGTCTTTGCTGTTGCTGTTTTTAATCCAGGGTCACTGTGATTGCCATGTCCCTCAAGCTACTTCTTCCACTGGAACAGGTCTGCAGCCACTAACGGCTACCGACGGTTTTTAGGAGCACAGACCAGGTGACTTGTAGAATGTTCTCAGTTCTGGCTTGTTGGGCAGCTGATGACCTCAGGTCATGCTTTCTGGCAGGTGTGTCACCAAAGTGAGATGGTCATAATCACAGCTCCACACATCAAGAGACTAGCTGGTCCTACTCTGTTGACATTGCCTGCTTCCTTAGGCCAGACATGGTGCCCGCTTAGGAGGTGTCTGCCAGATTTTGCTATGGTGAACCTAAAATCCCTTCCTACTATGGGAAGACACATTCCATGCATGCATATTTATTGTTTCTACCCAAATATCCATTCTAGGTTCACTTAGCAAAACCAGTGTTGGAATTGTCTGAATTACTGGTGACAATGGTGGCTCCATAGATACTTTTCTATCAATCCTTCTGTACTTATTAGTCGTTATTCTGTTACAGAGCTTTTGCTCCCATCCGTCTGTTCAGCTACCCACTTACCTATCTCCTCTCCCATCTAACTGGAATTAGTGTGGATACATGATTGATTCATTATTATAAATGAAAAGGTTTCACATCCTTAACCTTCTGTGGCTTCCCTGCACCTTACTTAAAACACTCCCAACGTGATCCAAACACCACCAACTTACATGGATTCATTTTAGTGTTGTCAAAGCAATCTGCAAAATTTAATTTAAAAAGTGTTTTTCTTGCGACTCTCTCCCCAAATAACTGTGATTAACTTCTGAATCAAACGCTGTTTTTGCAATAATCGATTCCCTTTTACCTTGTGTGATGGATCATTGTGATTTATCCTGATGGCGCCATGAAGATGCTGGCTGCTAGGCGGAACACTGAGTTTAATCAGGACCTCAAAGAGGCGCTGGAACCCAGTGATGTGTCTTGATCCTGGCTCTTCTTAAAGAACTATATTCCAGTGTTGACTCATACAGTGAACTAGGCCTGCAGAACAGAGGTGGTAGTTTTTTGTTTTTAATTTGATTTTGTTATATGTGTGTGAGTGTTCACATATACGTATGTGTACCGTGTGGGTACCTGGATCCCAAAGAGGCCAGAAGAGAGTATCAGAACTTTAGAGCTCTAGTTAAAGGTGGTTGTAAGCTGTCCAATGTGCTGGGAACTGAACCCAGGTCCTCTGCAAGAGCAGCCAGTGTTCTGAACCACTGAGCCATCTCTCCAGCTCCTATTAGCTGCTTTTGAGTTCTAAATTCAGATCAGCATACTCATGGCTTTTAACACACCTACTGTTTTAGTTTTTGAAGGAGATTACTTTTCTTAGAATATTGTCTAAAAGATGAAAACCCACTTAACCTAAAAATCTTTCTGGTTTTAAAGGAATACAAACGACCTTGTACATAAACCCTGATGCTCTCATGATGTCTGCTGAGGTCTCAGCTATGTCTTCAGCCAAAACCATGCTGTTGACTCAAGAATATAATTAATGTAAACAGATGCGTAGGATTATACAATTATTTCAATGTTAAAATCCTTAACCAACACTGAGAAGCATTTCAAGTTTTCTTTTCCATTTGGAACCATCACCAGTGGACAGTGGAACATTTTCAAAGCCTGGGATCTAATTATAAGTGTGACCATTGTGGTGGAACCATTTCCAGGCTAGTAAAGATCAAGGGTTCATGGAGAGTTAACTTGGCACCTTAGCCTAAAGCTGTGCTTTTCAGTGATCTGGGACCAATAATATATTTTACTTATATTATTATTATTAGTAGTAGTGCCGTAGTATTAATGTTAGTATTAGTATTATTTGAGTCAGTGTTGGTGAAATTATTAAGGCCACTCCACTTAGTTAAAAGGAAGATTTATTTAGTGGGTAACTTACAAAAAGGGAAAGGTAGGTCGCAGGGTCTGGGGAAGGTGTATCGCAATCCAGCGGTGTTCTTTGGAGCTCTGCTCGGTCCACCTCCACTGTTCAGGGTCCCGGCACAGAGAGAGCGCTCGCCTATCCAGGTCTCAGATCTCCAGGCGCCTCCCCTGGTCCCACCTTGTAGGTGTGACAGTTGCCAGAGTCTCAATGGGGGTTGGAACTTCCAGATCCAAGCTGGAATGGCTACCCACTACAAGTCAGGATCTCTCTGTGTAGCCCTGGCTGTCCTGGAACTTGCTCTGTAGATCAGGCTGACCTCAAACTCAGAGATCCCCCTGCCTCTGTCTCCCAAGGGCTGTGATAAAAGATATGCACCACCACTGCCCAGCTACTTGAAAAATTTTGGATCCATTGTAAACTCACAGGTGGTCTATCAGGCATGGCTAGGATGTAGCTTATAACATAGGAACCTCATCATGCAAGTTCATCACTCAAATTTGTCTCTAGATCCCTCACCATAATTAATCATTTTAAAGGTTTATGTGTGTGTATGTGAAGGTTTTGCCTACATATATTTATGTGCCACTTGCATGCCTGGTAGCTGTGGAGCTCAGAAGGCAGCAATGGATGCCCTGGGCCTAGAGTTAGAGATGGCTATGAGCCACCTGATGTGGGTGCTGGGAACCAAAGCGGGTCCTCTGCAAGGGCCAC